AAGAGCGATTTATTGGGACCCCAATCTTGTCCCTTTTTGAAAGAATCCAGCAAGTCTTTAGTAAAAGAAGTCAGCCAAGAGATTAAAGATGACATTTTGGATTCCACAGTAGATTCTTTGGAAAATAAAGACGATGTTGCAGTAGAACGTAAGTGATAAGTTGTTATACCAAATATTTGTAAAAATCAGTACAATGTATTTATAATTTTCAGAAGAGCCCTATCCTTATGAACAGTTTTTCCGCGAACAAATTATGCGCAAGAAGAAGGATCATTCGTACCGCGTGTTCAAGAAGGTAATAAACAAATTTTAATTCATTTTTTTGGACCCAAATATTGAGTTTTTTATTATAACTAATTTAATTTGTAGGTAAATCGCCTAGCTGGTGTGGGACAATTTCCAAGTGCTTTTGAGTACTCTTGGGGCGAAAAACCAATCACTGTATGGTGCTCGAATGATTATTTGGGAATGTCATGCCATCCAGAAGTCAAGGACGCTGTTAGGTAAATGGAAAGACTTTTGCGATAAAAATAAATATTGTAAGAATTTTTTTTTTAATACTTTTTCATTCCATTTTTAGAACTGCTCTGGACAAGCACGGAGCCGGTGCAGGTGGCACCAGAAACATTTCAGGAAATTCTTTGTACCATGAGAATCTAGAAAAAGAGCTCGCCAAACTGCATCAGAAAGAAGCTGCATTGCTATTTACCTCATGTTTCGTTGCAAACGATTCAACTTATTTTACTTTGGCCAAAGCGCTTCCGAACTGCCACATATTCTCTGATGCTGGTAACCATGCGTCCATGATTCAGGGCATATGCAACAGCCGTGTTCCCAAGCACATTTTTAGACATAATGATGTCGCACATTTAGAAGAATTATTGTCTAAGGTTGATATAGGCATTCCCAAAATAGTCGCTTTTGAGACTGTGCATTCCATGACAGGAGCAGTTTGTCCATTGGAGGTAATAAAATATAAATAATTAATTATATATTATATTTTTCAATATTTCAAACTCCGACTTTATGTTTACACATAATTTATCTCATTGATTTATAATTGAAATACTAATTTTGAATTTTGATTCCTTTACTTTACTGGAGCAGTATCAATTCTTGATTATTGAAACCAATAATAATATGCTAAATGGTGTTAATTGTTGTTAATGAAGTAATGTTAATTTGCAGCAATTGTGCGAAGTGGCACACCGCTATGGGGCAATTACATTTGTTGATGAGGTACACGCCGTTGGTCTTTATGGTGACCATGGTGCCGGAATCGGTGAACGCGATGGACAACTCGATGCCATTGACATTGTTTCCGGAACCCTCGGAAAAGCATTTGGCAATGTCGGCGGATATATAGGTACGGATCAAATGATCATTATATAAAACGTATCATAGCATGTAGAATTTCTTTTCATTCATTTTTTCTGCAGCTGGATCATCCCTTCTTGTCGACATGATAAGATCATACGCAGCAGGTTTTATATTCACAACTTCACTACCTCCAACTGTATTGGCTGGTGCTCTACGCGCTGTGCAGATATTAGCATCGGATGAAGGTCGGGAATTGCGTCATAAACACCAGGAAAATGTTCGATATATGCGCAAAAGATTGATGGAAGAGGGCTTTCCGGTGGAACACACTCCGAGTCATATTATACCCATAAAGGTTTGTGGGAAAAATAAGAATATACTTAAAATTTTTAAATGATTTTGTGTGGTTTATTGGATTTCATTAAGTAATCATCAGTCAGTGAAACTGATCAATTACGATATTCATTTATAGAATCGGATTTGATGCACTTCACTGCTTAAAGATTAAATTCATAATCATATCGCACATATTTTTGCTTCATTTCAAATTTAATCACTGACATTTATTTGCATATGCATGTATTGCACTAACTAGGTAATAAATTGTAAATGTGCTTGTATGTCATATTAGCTCGTACTCATTTTTTTGTAACTCTCGTACGATTTTGATTAGAATTTCGGTTCCACTTTTCGGTAAAAGTTATGGTTAACAGACATAGCTGTATTGTTTCGTTTCAATATATTGAATTAATATATTTTGATCTAATTTAGATCAAATTCCATATTAACTTGTGTTATTTGTTAGCGGTAGTGGTATTTTAATTTCGGATGGCTACTAATTGCTGGGTCGTATTTATAGTTGCATTTGCTTGCTATAATTTAATCCACCAATAATTTTGAAAGTCTTCAAATAGAGTAGAATTCAACAAGTGCACCTAACTCATTTTTATATAAGTGAAGTGAGTTTTAACCTACTATTAGAATAAATGTAAGTATTATAGTGCATTTTTACTATTTTTCTATAAGAATCCATATATTTTGCACGAATGTGGTGAGCATGAATTTGTCATTTTCATTTGCTTATCATTTTAATGTGCGCAACATCATTTCATCTTCATCATTGCATTTTCAATATTGATTTCATTGCTAACTTTGTTAGTAAATAGTTGATAATTTTTAGATTGGTGATCCGAAAATCTGCACAGCAGTATCGGATAAACTTTTGAAACAATATGGACATTATGTGCAAGCTATTAATTATCCAACTGTGGCTCGCGGAGAAGAAAAATTGCGTATGGCACCAACGCCTCATCATACTAAACCTATGATGGAGCAACTTTTGCTGGATATGAGAGCCATTTGGAATGAACTGGGTTTGCCTCTAAAAACACCAGTTTGTTCATCGGTAAGAGATAAGAGCTTATCCTTGAAGAGTCATAAATATCGACTTTGAAATGCGAGTACTATATTTTGATTCTTTTTAGGAATGTAAGTTTTGTCGTAAACCTTTATTGTACGATCATTATGAAGCTAGAACAAGAGGCAACAAATACAAGAGTGCTGAACCATGCACAATTCCAAACTGCCCGCAAATGATTGCTGTAGCAATGTAATCATAAACCTAGTTATATCCTTAAACATTATTAAAATTCAGGTTTATTGGTGTGAGTTCATACTCACAAAAATACATGTGCTAATTCTATATTGTGATTCATAATTAAACTAACCTACTACTAAAAATTGTTGTTAATCGAATAAATTTTAAATGTTTTAAATGACCTCAAATTAAATTTAAGGTCTGCCGTGGATCATGAATTTATTTTAATAATAAATTGGATATATATGGGCCAACATTATTTATTCCATGTACTGGTGATAGATTTATTTATTTGGAAATTTTAATGAATAAATAAATTACGATTAAAGTATGTTTTATTTATTTAAAATTGGAATGAAGTGATTATAACAATCATTTATATGAAATTCCAATGAAGAACATGATGAAATAAATATTGTATGCATGGATTGCAAATTGCTTCGCAAAACTATTTTCGGTACTCCACATATAGATTTAAAGTACACTTGTTGAATATTTTTATTTTATTTGAAGACTTCTAAAATACTAGTGTATAAAATATATGTAATACTTAATATACTGAGGTTAACAATTAATGCTTCTATAATTCGAAATAAAGTATGTTTCAAAGATTCTATATACTTCAATATTGAAATGATTCATTTTGATCTCAAAATTTGGTTGTTTTGGGGACGTTTTGACAAAAAATTACGTGGGGGAGAAGAGGTCTAGTAACCATAATTGAATTTATAATCCAATTTTTTTAAAATAAAAAATCCCAAAATATTACGATTTTTTCTAGGTATTAAAAATGCACGTGATATTAGCTGGGGAAGGGGAGTAATGTTAAATATTACCACGTATTACCAAGCGAGAGGGTGGAGTCTTAAAATCCTTAAAAATTGATCACGTGATTATAATGGACTGCCCCTCAGCACGACTTCCGTTTGCAGGTATCGGAAGTTCAGCAACTTGGCTTAAGACAAAATGCCACTTACATTCTATGGACTACAAATCTTGTTTTTAATCGTCTTAAATAAAAAGATAAACATAGAAAAAGAATTTAAAAGAT